CCATACTTAAAAGTTGAATTTGTCTATTCACAGTTTTGCAAATAGAGCAGGATTTATGAACAATCAAACTTGGGGTATCTAAAATTAGCTTTTGAAGAATTACCGAAACACTTCCATAACAATCAACATAATTATTTTCATTTTCAAAATGCATACATAGGATCTCAGCCCTATCGTGATAAAGAGACGGTGAAACTCCTTCTTCTGCATATTTTCTAATTAGTGAAAAAATATTCTTATGTTAAAAAATGTTGTTATGTCAATTGCATCTTTAAAAGTTGCATAGTTGGAATAACAACTTGCTAGCGTTTCTACTGAAGCATCAAATCCGCAGGTTGACGTTAAGGCGGTTCCAGAATAGGTGCAAAAGCCAAGTACAAGTGGAAGTCCATAAGTGCCAATCTCATGAGTGCGAAAGAGATAGGTAGTCTATCTATCTCTTTTGCACTCATGGGTTTTGGACTTGCACTTGGCTTTTGCACCTGTTCTGGAACCGCCTTTAAATAAATTTTAACACCGTTGATTGAAACAGGACCTTTTTTGCAACCGTTTAAAATTATCTTCCCGTGACGTTTGCGTAATGGTTTACTGTAAAGCAGCTCAACATTTGGATAAGCTTTTAAATATTTTCCTCATTCACGATTCACTTTATTTTCTTTTAATGGTGATTCTGTTTTTTCTATCCATAGAAAAATTCTGTTCGACAAAACAGTTTTCTTTATTTTCTGATAGGGAAGTCGCAAATTTTTCTCCTATTATAATTTTTTCTTGACTCTTAATTTCGGTAATTGTTGACTTATTTACATTTTTTTGAAATTTTTCGTCATTTTCTGAGTCGCTTAATTCATTACTTGAGTCCTGCTTGGTTTTTGCTTCAAAATTTTTCCCAAACCAATTTTCCTGGAATTTTAAATAGTCATGTGTTACATTTACTTTCTTAGCTTTCTTTTCTTCCGAACCAGATTGTAAATTGTTTTCTGTTGTTCTTTTACTCTTGTTTTTATTTTCGGTGGTAACAACTTTTATCCGATTTTTAATGCATTTTGCCTTTTCTAATTTTGCGATACTCTCAATGGATTTGATGTGTTTGGAAACAAATTTGTCCGCTCGCAATGGGTGATAATCAGGTCCTAAATCACTATGTTTCAAAGTTTTGAAGTAAGATTCACAAGAGCAGAAGAAGCGACATCAGAGCCAGAGGGAAACCTGACATTCCAGTGAAGATTTCAAAAACATGCCATCTCAGATGTCAAATTTTTGTTGATTGTTTTAGGTTGGTAACACTGTAAACGAAAAATTGATGAGTCAAAATAATTAATATTTTGTTGAATATTGATGGCTAAATCGGTAGAACCTTTAATAATTTTATTATTAATAATTATACTTTTCTTAATTTTTAATATTGATTTCAAGAATAAAATTTTGTTAACTATAATATAACATTCTCAAGAAAGTGTTACCAACCTAAAACAATCAACAAAAATTTGACATCTGAGATGGCATGTTTTTGAAATCTTCACTGGAATGTCAGGTTTCCCTAATATTTTTTAGATTGTCACGTTTCTCAACATTCGCCTGAATTGGCGTGTTTCTGCCCTCAATCGACGATCTATTATTTTAGGACAATAAAAGGCATTTAGCATATCTGTTTCTTCAGATGAGTTAATTTCGAATAGATAATCTTCCCGAATTTTATTTAAAAAACTAATAATATCAGGATTATCATCACACTCATCGTTTGAATAATCGTAATCACGTTTTTCATCATCAGGGTCGTCTTCATTTTCTTCGCAAAATGAAAATGTTTTAATTCTGTTCATAAGAAATGTATGTTTTCTTTCACAAACAACATTTTTGCCACTGTATTCACTGCCTGCTACAATTATTATGAACTTTAAAAGCTCAGTTAAATTTTCAATATCCCTACACGTGGACATTATTGCGACACAGCGAATAAAAAAATCTTTTACTTTTGGATGTATACCTTTAAACACTTCTTTCCTGCACATTATTTTTATAAGATGAGCGATATCTACCTTAATGAGACACTGAAGATCTGAATGTGAGATCGATGTACAATGCTTAAAGCAATTTAATATATAGCTCTTTAAAGACATTTCATTAAATGCTAAAGATGTCGCATTTAAAAGTGCCATAGAATACACGGAGAGAAAAATCATACTATATTCACATGAGCCACTGTTGCTTTTTTCACATAACACTATTTCATGTAAAAATCGTTTATCACGCAAGATATTTTTTCATGAAATCTGGTATTATTACATGAATAAACGTAGTGTGAAATTAGAAAGACATGTATACTAATTCTGACTGATCTGTAAACTATAAACGCTTAAGAAACATGATAAAATTGCCTTCCTTCTGTCTATATAAAATTTGCTTGAAATCCATGCGCTTTTCAGAAGTCACGCATGCGCACTATCATTTCTATCTCCGTTGCAAGAAATCTGCCCTATTGAAAAAAAACACGTATAATTATACGTATAATAATACGTATAATTATACGTATAATTGTACGTATAATTATACGTATTATTATACGTATAATTATACGTATTATTATACGTATAATTATACGTATTATTATACGTACAATTATACGTATAATAAGACATACGAATTTGAAACAAGAATTATACGTATAATTATACGTATAATAATACGTATAATTAATTATACGTATAATAATACGTATAATAATACGTATAATTATACGTATTATTATACGTATAATTATAATTCTATTAAAAATAGAATAATAGAATAGAATAGATTAATTATTAGCAAAATTGCGCTGAAAATTTTTAGAAATTTTAAAATGCAAATTAAATTTCACGAAAAAAAATATCGTCGAATGTCAATTCAAGCAGTCACCCATCCAAGTATTAACCGCGTCCAACGTTGCTTAACTTCTGTGATCTGATGAGAACTTGTTCCTTCGCCTTGGTGTTTCCGCTGTCTTGTCTTGATTAATAACTTTGTCGTATAAGTATCACTAAAAGTGAGGTTAGGTGCGATACAATACTTATACGACAAAGTTATTAATCAAGACAAGACAGCGGAAACACCAAGGCGAAGGAACAAGTTCTCATCAGATCACGGAAGTTAAGCAACGTTGGACGCGGTTAGTACTTGGATGGGTGACTGCTTGAATTGACATTCGACGATATTTTTTTTCGTGAAATTTAATTTGCATTTTAAAATTTCTAAAAATGTTCAGCGCAATTTTGCTACTAATTAATCTATTCTATTCTATTATTCTAGTTTTAATAGAATTATAATTATACGTATAATAATACGTATAATTATACGTATTATTATACGTATTATTATACGTATAATTAATTATACGTATTATTATACGTATAATTATACGTATAATTCTTGTTTCAAATTCGTATGTCTTATTATACGTATAACTGTACGTATAATAATACATATAATTGTACGTATAATAATACGTATAATTGTACGTATAATAATACGTATAATTATACGTATAATTATACGTATAATAATACGTATAATTATACGTATTATTATACGTACAATTATACGTGTTTTTTTTCAATAGTGTGTCCATAAACCGCATGGATTTCAAGCAAATTTCGCATTGAGTGGAGGAGAGTATTTATGACATGGACTTGAAGCAAATATAGTGCATGTTCCAAACTTTTCTTGCATAGAAATCTACGACCCTATAAACTCATGAATTTTGTCTAAAAAAAGCACGTCTCAGGTGATGTGAATAATGAGTAACACAACCCATGTGAATATAGTATGATTTTTCTCTCCGTGTAGTCACAATTGACTTCAAGAGGTGTACCATCCCCATCTCTTAAAATTTCTTTTAACCAATAAGAAATGAAATTTGCGTCATGTTTCTCAGATAGCATCTGAAAAACCGGCTGAATCCCATTTTCACCCCTTGTAATCATTTGGTATAAAAATATCTGGATCTGGTTCTTGAAGGCAATGAGCATTGTAAGGGATATAAGTATATATGGTGTAAAGTATGAGTTTTGGGGTGGGAAGTTTTTCCAAAATGTCGGGGATTGTCGACGATTGAATTAAGTATGAATAGAATGTGTGAGATTAGTCGACGTGGGTCGTTGGAGAGAACATAACACCCGTTCGCGGGGTAAGTTGATATTATTAAGTTGAATGAATAATTGTATGGTTTGATGCTATTTTGTTTCATTTATAATGGTAAGGAAAATGTTCATTTTAGTTTTGAATATTGGGTGATAAAAAATTGAAAAGGAGAAAAAAGAAAATAAATGAAATATTCTAAGGAGAATTATTTATCGTGGCAAACGATTGCATTGCAGCAATTTGTGCTTCCAGTCAAGTATTTGACGCTGTATTTAAGGATTGATGTAGCATCCGAATTTCATATCTCCAGAAATTACTAATTATTGTTTATCACCGAAAAGGGGATCTATATATATATATATATATATATATATCTCAAAGATAAGTCAACGACCTCACATTTTTGTTATATATGTATTTGTGTGTGATGTTTTATTTTATGTTTTGTATATTCTGTGTATTATACTGATTTTTTGACTGTTAATTATTTTAGATTAACTACTGAAAGATTATTTAAATTGTGACTCTTTTGTGTTGTCAAAAGATTTCTTTTTTCATTAGAATATTATTGACTTTTGGCCAAGTGATGTCAGAAATTTAAGTAATGTATAAATATTCAAATTATTAATTGTGAGATAAAATTAATTATAAATGATATTATTTTTGTGGAGTGACAAGAAAAGAAAAATATATAAGATTTATTATAATTAATTTTAAATAAAATTGATTTTTTTGTTTCGAATATTACATTTTTGACCTATAAGCTTTTATGAAAGAATCCTAGAATATTGTATTAGAAAATAAACACTACAGCATCAAATGATGCTCTACAATCTTTGTAAACACCTAAAATGTGTAAGTATACGAAAGTTTAGTGATGTACGATGAGACGAGATGTTCAACTTTCTTGTTCGAAATTCCTCGATCGCAGAAGCTCAATTGCTCAAAATTCTCGTATTGTCATTTGTTACTATCGTTTCATTTCATATCGTTTCTCATTTGTGTTGACATAAAACGTCAGATTGTCAAACAAGATTTTCGAAAATTTCGACAATTCAAAACTGCTAAAAGAAAATGTCTTCGAATTTCGAAAATACGTTCCCTAATAAAAGAAGGAAAAAGTGTGGAAGATCAGATTCTGAATTTTATGAGATTTCTACTGAAGATAATTGCAAAATAGCAAAATGCAAATTATGTTTGAATAAAAATGGAACAGAGGTTGTAATAAAAATGACATGTGGAAACACGACAGGATTGAAAAGATATTTAAACAAAGAGCACGAAGAAGAATTTCAAGAATTTTATTCACTGATTTCTGAATCACAATCAGAAGTAATTTTTATTTGTTAATTATAAACTTGATCATTTTTTGGTTATTTTCTTTTGCGCTTTTTAAACTCGTATTAATATGTATATATTTTTTATCAAGAATACTTAAAAAATGATTTTCAAAATTAATTTCAATAAACTTGGAGTAAATTTCCACTTCAGAAAAATAAAAAATAAATAATCACTGTTTAAAATATCTATGTTTTGACTCTTTTTATTGTGAATAACCTGCAAAAATTCTAACTAAAAATATATAAATAAAATATAAAACATGCATATATAAAATAAATATATAAAATAAATAAATATGTGTATATTTTTTTCAAGAATACTTAAAAAATGATTTTCAAAATTAATTTCAATAAATTTCTTGGAGTAAACTTACACTTAAGAAAAATTAAAAATAAATAATTACTGTTTAAAATAGCTCTTTTTTGACTCTTTTTATTGTGAAAAACCTGTAAAAAATTCTAACTAAAAATATATAAATAAAATATAAAACATGCATAGGTATATAAAATAAATATATAAAATTAAATATAAAAACAAAATAAATAATATTTAAAACTATGAGAAAATTAGAAAGTTAATATTTCGATTATTATCAAGTATAAAGTGCAATCAGTCAGATTTTCCCCTTTTATTGCAGAAATTTTGTCAAGAGCTATTGAATGTCAAAACTGTCGATTGGGTTGCCAAAAAATATTTACCTTATAATTTTTTTGAAGACGATGAGACGCAAAATTTTTTCCACTTTCTAAATTCAAATGCAAAATTGCCAAAGCGAAGTCAACTAAAAATTTTAGTTGAAGATAGCTTCCAAATCAAACAACGATCTATAATGCATATTTTAGAGAAAAATCAATCTAAGATTTCATGTACTATTGACGGTTGGATATCCATAGCAGGAAGATTATACTATTGTAATACTATTGTATTACGGGTCATTTTATTGGAGACGATTGGGTTTTACACTCATTGCTTATAGATTTCTGCCCTTCTGAAGGTGAGCACGCAGGACGTGACATTGCAGCTGTCTTTTATAAAGCAATTAATGAATTCAATATCAAAGAAAAGATTTTAGGAATTACTGTCGATAACGCCTCTTCCAACACCACTTTTATGTGGGAATTAACATTCCTCATGGACTTCGATCATGAAAATCAGCATTTTCGCTGCTACGCGCACATTATAAATCTTGCGGTTCAAGATTTGTTAAAAGAACTAAAACTCAAAGCAAGCAATGAAATTGAAAATGAATTAGAAGAAGAGGATGATTCTAGAGAAAATGAGAGAACGAATGAAAATACGGAAACTAGAGAAAATTTTGATAATTGTAACTCTCCGATTGCAAAATTGAGCAAATTATTTAAATTCCTTAAAAAATCTGAAAAATGGAGGAAGAAATTAAAAAATTGCTGTGAATCATGCAATATCAAAATGGTTTCACCAAATGTAGACGTTAGTACTCGCTGGAACTCTACATCAGATATGATAAGTGTAGGATTAAAAATGCAAGAGGGTATCGTCTTACTGTGCAATAATAACAATTTACTAAAACCTTTATCTATAAGCTCTCAAGAATAGGCACAAGGTTGAACAATTTCGAAAAACATCTTGGGGCAAAGAAATGGAAACGTATTCAATATCAAAATTTGAAGAAATTTATAGAACAAAGTATTATGAGTCTTCTGAGACAAAAGTAATTTTATTTTACTTTAAAATTTTTTTCAAAATTATTTAAATGACTATTTATTTTTAAATTTAAAGACATAGAGATTTTATATTTAAAAAAATAGAAAATATTTTAACCTTCACAGCAACGAATATTTCAGTATATCATTTAGGATGTCAGTAGGATATCCTGAATTTGCACTAATTATCCGGATGCTGTCAAGATATTCAATGAATCCTTTGGAGTGAATTTTTACTTCAGAAAGATTTAAAATGAGGCTACTTCAATTCGAAGTGACAAATTTACTCCAAAACATTAAAATCTCAGCTTAAACCACTTTTCTTGTTTTAAAAATTTTGAGTTTCATAAAAATTCATTATTAAGGAGAATACAGAAATAGAAGAAACTTTAGAAGCAAATGCTGAATCGAATGAAGACGAAGATATTTTAGACTTGGATTCTTTTTACGAAAACCAGATCAGAAACCCTAAAACAAAAACAAATAGAAACCAATGGAAGCATGAAATAAATATGTATTTAGCTGAAAAGAGAGCAGAAAAGGATGTCGATATTTTAGAGTGGTGGAAGATGCACGAAAAATCTTTCAAAAGTCTTGCGAAAATGGCTCGAGATTACTTGGCTATTCAAGCAACTTCCGTGCAATCCGAACGCGTTTTTTCGAAAAGTTCTTTAGTCATTAGAAAGCATAGAAACAGATTATGCGATAAATCAGTGAGACATTTAATGACATTAAATTCGTGGGTTACTTGCTCTCTAGCGAGAGAAATTGAATCTAATTTACAAAAATAATTTTGCGTGTATTATTAATTCACATTTACAAAATATTTATTCTTTTATAAAATATGAATAAAAGTATCTTTAAATATCAACGTGTATTCCAGTGTATTTTTTATTGTAGTAATAATATTATTTTTCAACTAAATATAATTAATATAGGAGTAGTGAATTGTAAATTTTGAAATTTCAAATACAATTTTGTTTTATATTACATTTTAAAATAAAAAAATTCATTAAATGCGTCATATAAATAAGTGCATATTTTTATTTTTGTAATATTGCAAAGTTTTAAATTGCAATATAATATAGATATTAGATTTTTAACTTCAATTTAAAAAATCACAAAATTTTATAGCCAAAATGTGAATTTTTGATTTTTTAACTTTCATTAATTCTTTAAATTTACCTCAAATGTATACTTTATATATATATATCAATCGATTCGTCTTGACGTAAGGAATACGATTTTATTATATATAACCTTAAATTTTTCTATTTAAAAATTTTTTCGATATTTTTTTTTAAATTTTTTCGGGTATTTTTCAAAATCCTTTGGTCAGATTTGAGATAATAATATGATAAATGAGCCTACCAAATTTTATCTAAATCCATTGAAACCTGTTAAAGTTATCTTCTAAACAAAAAAGGGATCCACACACATACATACATCCGGACAATTGATCAGGATCTCATATAATATGTTTCTATAAAGAAAAAAATTTGTTTCCGGCACTTTGAAAAGTTTTATAAACGAAAGGACTACATAGCTTCCTCCACGAGGAAGCAAAAAAGGAACTTTTTAAATTTTTATTTCCAATAGCATAATCGTATGGCTCGTACTCCAAAGTAGAATCCATTGACGCTGTAGTGTCATTTATGCTTACCACATTTATTAAAATATTAAAGTGACTTTTCAAATCATTTAACAAATTCCATCTATTGTTACGCACGTACGAGTTCAAAGTGTCGGATGAAATCTCCTGAGGAAGCAATAATGCAGCTGCATTTCTCCATATTTCGTCAGAACGTGGTTTTAAAATATTGTTATCATCAAAAATTGTAAATAATTTTAATATGTCGAGCAGCACATTGGAGTCAAATTGTGTCCTTCGAGGCATCGTGCAAATATTACATCCATCTAATAAAAAAATTATTAAATTTATCTCTTCAGGATTCATAAAATTTTGTAGTTTACACCAGAATCAGGACATAGTTTATTTCTTGTTCTGTGTTTTCCCTTTTTAAAAATTAAATTAGTGGAAGTTCTGCATCAGTTGCATTAAAGATTGATTAGAATTACATAGAATTTAAATTTATTGTTAAAAAGATTGATTACAATTGATTATTTAATCACCGAATGTTTCAAATAATATAATTTAAGATTGTTTGAAATTTGACTGACTCAATTCCCACCATAAGCATGTTTCATTATTCGGTTTTTAATTTTTCAATAGTCCACTGAAAAACATAATTTATCTAACATTTCATTACATTTTATGTGATTATATAAAAAACAACTTGAAATAAATACTTGATAATATCACTTTTTTTTTATTCATGAAAATTGACAATTTGTTTACCAAATGCAATTGAAACAAATAGAATTTTCTATTCAGTGAAGTTTAGATATATTAAAATTTCTTTCACGTAAATTTGAGTTGGAATAAAATTAGAATGATGTTGATGTTCAAATTTTCGCGCATAATAAAGGTCAGTCTGGCTGAATATTGGATTTGAATTTCTGTTAAATATTATAATTAAAGATTCTTGGCATATTGTGAGGGGATATTTAAGGAAATTAAAAATTCAAGATTTGTTAAATGTAATCGTTAAATATTCTGCAAATTTAGAAGGAGCATAAATACGGAAAAATAAAAAGAAAGCAAATGAATTTAAAATCCCAATGGGAAAAATTAATAATTAAATTAAAATCAAAAAATGGTCATCAAAGTATTAGTGAAACCATTTCTTCCAAAAAAGAATTTGTCTCAAATCAAATAAATAGGAGAGACATCGGGCAGAAAAAAAAATTTCGACAAGAAAAAAATTTTCGATCACTGCTTATATACCAATCTAATGGCACCTCAACTGCGAGAAACAGTTGTGATGTTCGCCCTCCCTGTGGCGTTAAGCGAACTAAAGTCCAAAGCTGAGCCATCAGCGCAGCGCGGGAATATTTGAAAAATTTGATTTTATTTTAAATATGACAAATAATTAACTTAATAAATAATTAATGTCATAAATAATTATTAATAACATAATGTCATACTTAATAATTCGTTAATTAATTATTTTTAACGAAAATTTGACAAAAAAAAATTTGTGGTCAAAAAAATTATTACCATTAAAAAATAATTTTTTTGTTAAATATTCTCGTAGGTAAAAAAAATTAATTAACTAATTATTAAGCTAATTATTTAATTAATTTTTTTTACAGAGAAATTTTGAAAAAAAATTATTTTCTCATCGTGATATTTTTTTGGGCCACAAATAATTTTTTTACTGAGAAAATTTAAAAATAAGTAAATTTCTCATCGTAATATTTTTTTGTGCTACGTATAATTTTTTTCTTAAATTTTTTTACAGAGAAATTTTTACAACAAAATTATTTTTCATCGTGATTTTTTTTAAGACGCGAATAATTTTTTTTCAAAGAAAATTTGAAAAAAAAATTATTTTCTCATTGTGATATTGTTTTGTGCTACGAATAAATTTTTGGTAAATTTTCGTAGTAAAAAAAATCAATTAATTATTACGGTATTTAGTTAATTAATTTTTTTGGAGAGAAAATTTGACAAAAAAGTTATTTTCTTATCGTGATAATTTTTTTAGGCCACAAAATATTTTTTTACAAAGAAAATTTAAAAATGATTAAATTTCTCATCTTGATATTATTTTTGTGCTACAAATATTTTTTTTGATACATTTTCGTAGTAAAAAATGAAAAAATGTGTTTCTATTGACTGTTGCATGTCTGAAGTTGAGGATCGTTTAAGAAGACGCAAAAACTTAATAATTTACGGACTAAATGATCAAAATCCATGTCTCGTTCCTGACATGCATGAGTCAGATATGCTAAAAATTAAATCATTGCTTTTTATCTGTTGTCCTGAACAACGTTATAATGAAATAAGTACATGGAGACTAGGAAAATTCTCAACAACTCAATCCAAGCCTAGACCAGTTAAAGTTAGTTTGCCAAACGATTACACAGGCCAACACTGATTTTGGTGCAGCAGATGTTAGACCTGTTTTTGATATGTTTTTTCATGCTGAACACAAATCCGTAAACGAAAAGTTCCTATCAGCTCTAGTTTTTGAGAAAAACGGGTTTTAAATGTTCAAAAATCGCGTTTTTGGCTAACTTTGAGTACCTCTAGCACTGAAATAAAAGGTCGTAGAACCTTCCACTTGGGCTTAAATTGAGGCTTAATGTTTTAACTATTATCCCCAAAAATGACCTATGTTGCACCATAATCTCAAAGTCATTTGTTATCATTTTTGATTCGCAAATATTAATTTTGTAAAAGTTTGAGCGCGTACCTTTAGCAAAGAAAAAAGGATCATAGAACCTTTTATTTGAACTTAAAATAAAGTTTGAACTTTAGACTACAAGCCCTAAAAATTATAATATTCACTAATAACCTTAAAATTGTTGGTAACCAGTATTTAACTACAGAACTTATTTGGTAATATTTGAATAACTCTAGTCAATAAAACCAAAGGTGAGTAAACCTTCTTGTTGAGCTTCAATTCAATTTATCCCTTGACTGTAGTTCATAAAAATTACATTACTGCACCTTAACCTCAAGGACTAGATGTACGCGCTCAAACATTTTACAAAATTAATATTTGGGAATCAAAAATGGATAACAAATGACTTTGAGGTTATGATGCAAGATAGGTCATTTTTGGGGATTATAGTTAAAACATTAAGCTTCAAATTAAGCCCAAGTGGAAGGTTCTCCGACCTTTTGTTTCAGTGTTAAAGGTACTCAAAGTTAGCCAAAAAAGGGATTTTTGAACATTTTAAACCCGTTTTTCTCAAAAACTAGAGCTGATAGGAAATTTTCGTTTACGGATTCGTGTTCGGCATGAAAAAACCTATCAGAAACAGGTCTGACATTTGCTGCACCAAAAAAGTTTGCTAATTTTGCTGGCCTGTATTATCTATCTTCACAGATTCTGATATCCTTCGTCCGACTCAAAAAGAGAAACCTACTACCTCAGGAGTTTTCTGCGATATCAATATCTCCCGACAGAACCAGACATCAACAACTGGAATACCAACGTATCAAAAAAGAAATGACGTCGGGATTAGCACAAGGGGAAACAAATTTGAAAATAGTCTGTCGCTTCGGTGCTCCCTCCATCATAACAGCTTAACCAACAAATCAAAATCACACTGGACTTTATATTACCAAAATGTTCGCGGTATTAATTCAAAACAATTATTTTTTGATAGATATCAAGATATATATTTTTATTCCTTTTTCGTTCTCACTGAATCATGGCTAAAGCCTCATGTACCATCTGGAAGTTTTATCGACCCACTTTTGTTTAATTTTTTTCGTAAAGATTGGTTGATTAAAAAAGGTGGTGGTGTATTAGTAGCAGTTAATACAGAATTTGTAGTTAAAGAATTGGAATTAGATGATTTGAAGTCTTTTATTGACACTATTGATTTACTTTCTCTCATAATTTCTAAACATACTTTATCGTTTATATTATTGGCTATCTATATCCCTCCTGACATCCCTATATCTGTTTTTACGTCTTTCTTTTCTAAATTAGAAGAATGCCTAATATTATATTCTTTGCGACTCGTTCTTATTGGTGATTTTAATTGTCCTAATTTTTTACAACATTCATTACATCACCATACTGATCCTAAATCTATGATTTTGTCTATTTGCCTAAATTCTCTTAACCTACATCAAGTTAATTCCACCTTAAATACTTCTTGTAAACTCCTCGATTTAATTTGTATAAGTCACAAGTACCCATGCCATAGAGCTTCTCTTTCAATAGTACCTGAAGATCCGCATCACCCTGCTCTCAACCTTGAAATCATTCTTACTTTTGACAATAAGTTTTTAAGTTCTAAATTTGACACTTCTACATCTTTGTCGCCACCACCTACAAGATATAACTTCAAAAAAGCTGACTTAACTGGTCTTTATGTATTTTTATCTGAAGTTGATTGGTCATGCTTGAAATTACATAATGATGTAAATTTAGTATGTGAAGAATTTCTCACTATTATATTTAATGTGTTTAATAAATTTGTTCCAGTTTACAAACAAAAGCAAAATTGTAGTCATCGTTATCCACCCTGGTTTGACCAATCAATAATTAATGATATAAACATTAAGAAAAAATTGTTAAAAAAAGACATTTATCCAATTATTACGCTGAACAAATAAGGTTATTATCTAATTCCTTACATAAACGTATAAAAAAGAATCATATTCTATACATTAAATCTGTTGAAGATGCCCTCAAAAATGACTCCAAGGAATTCTGGAGATTTGTTAATAGAAATAAAAAAAATTCGCCTATTCCTGATGTAATGTACAGTGATAATTTAATGCTAGATACACCTATTTCTATTGTGAATTCTTTTGCCGATCTTTTTTCTTTTCATTCAAAAGCAACTTTCTCTTCAATTAATGTATCAGATAATATTCAAAATTTAGAATATTTTTGTAATAACCCTTTCCAATTTAAAGAGCAAGATATAACTAAGGCTGCAAAATCATTGAAAGCAACATTTGTTTCTGGTCCGGATAATATTCCTAGCTTCATAGTAAAGGATTGTGCCTCAGTACTAGCTGAACCACTGACACTTATTTTTAATTTAGCCTTGAAATCACGTATTTTTCCTCATGTTTGGAAAGAGGCCAAAATCATACCAGTGTATAAGGTTGGAGAGAAGTCCAGAGTGACCAATTATAGACCTATTGCCCTTTTGCAAAATTTTGCTAAAGTTTTTGAACGAGCAATTCTAAATTCAATTCTGTTACCACTTATGAATATAATTATTGACGAGCAACATGGCTGCGTTCGAAATCGATTTATTCTTACTAACTTGCTTACTTTTACTCAAATAGTTAATACTGCTTTGCAAAGGGGATTGCAGGTCGACGTTGCTTATCTGGATTTCTCAAAGGCCTTTGATACTATTGACCACCAAATATTAGCAAGGAAAATGGTCACAAAATTGGCGATCCTGCCAGGATACGTATTGACTTTGTCTTTTTACGGAAAGTTGCTACAAACTCTTGAAACCGTATCCCAATACGAATCTGCAGTCAACTTACTGTAAAATTAAAGTGAATAGTGACGGAAGTGTTTTATTCTTGAAAAAAATCAAGAACAATATATATACAAATATTCTTTTAAATTTGGGTAAAACTAGTGGCTGAATTGAAGTAGGCTCTATTTTACGTAAACCTATAATTTAAAGGAATATTCCAAAGGACTCGTCGATCTAGACGATACCTTGTATGTACTCCATGTAGACGGATTGTACAAGTGAGGATTCTAAATAACATAATTTTGCTAAATAGAAAACACATAAACACACAATACCGAAAGATAGCACACGCTTTGAGTATTATTATTGAACAATCTGGCGTTGAATTCTTATTTAAGACATTTAACGGGTTTTGTTGAGGATACTCAAAGAAATTCCTTAATCAATAAACCACCACTTCCTTCAGATCCAATTAACCCCAAGCTTACCGACAAAATGACTGACGAGACGAACAACACCTTAGAGCTTATTTTAAAAAAATTAACTTTAATCGAGGAAAACCAAAAATTACTTAACGACGAGAACACGAAAAGAGCGGAGGAAATAAACTTCCTTGCGGACAATAGAAATTTTGAACGGACAGGACGATGTGGGAGTTCAAGATTTTATCTCGAATGTTAAACGCGCTGTTTCTAAATGCTCACAGCCCGGTTTTTATTAGATTTTGTAAAAATAGAAAAAATCTTAGTCAACGCCAAGCGCGCTATTCGACATTGTTCTGCAAATAGTTTCGACGAACTTTTCGACGCCTTAAGAAGTAACCTTAATTCAGAAACATCTGTTGAATTATGTAGGAATAAATTAGAAAATTGCAGGCAAAATAATGATTCCGTACAAGTATATAACCAAAAATACCGACAAGTTTTTAATGAATTAAAATATGCTATTCAAGCGAAGCATTCAGGGTCAATGGCTAGAAAAATTGCCCTCCAAATTGAAGAACAAACGGCCGTAAAAAGATATATAATGAACCTTCGGGACGAAATAGGAAGCCAAGTTCGACCTTTAAAACCTGTTACAATTATCAGTGCCCAACAGGAAGCTTTAGAGGCCGAAACATGGTATCGCGAGGAATTAAAAAATAGGGTTCTTGCTACGACAAAATCACATTTTCAAATAAATTCTCAAAGAAATGAAAACGCGAACCGAAGACCACCTCCGCAACCAAATATTAGTCATAAAGGAAATTATTCTGATCCACCAAACCATAATTTACCTCTAGCACAACGATTTGGAATGATCTGTAACCTCTGTAAAAAACCAGGTCATACTGATAATCAATGCTGGCACCAGAAGCAAAATTCAAATTTTCACGCGCCACAGAACCAAAAGCGACCCCCGCAAAGAATCCATTACACAACAGAAACATTTTCGTAATAAGAGATAAACAACAAAGACGTAGAAAACACAGAGACGATAGAGAGCGCATCGATCGAATCAGTTGTATATCCGGAAGATTGCAATCAGTCGCCGTACAACCCGTTGGATTCGAACGAGACGTGCGATTCCTCGTGGATACAGGATCTTCCATAAATTTGATTAAAGAGTTAGATTTTCCAAAGAATCTCCCCAAGGAAATATGTGACAAGAAATTCCAAATGGGCAATGATATACAAACCGCAAAATATAAGACCGAAATAAATTACATCAATAAAAATTTCATTATATACATAGTACCTGATAGTTTCCCTTTACCTGAAGATGGAATTTTAGGATTACCATTTTTACAACAATACCCTTACAGATTATCCAATACACACTTACGACTACACGATCAAGAGCATGAGTTAATCGAGGAAGGGATTTTAATACCCCCAAATCGAATTCAATTAATTCGTATCCCTGTTACAAAACCTAAAGGCACGGTAGGAATTTTTGATAATCCTTTTATACCAGATTCAATTTATACCATTCAAAGTCAAAGTATTACAGTTCCCCCCCCCCCCCGCAGCACCGAAAATTTCCTAAAGATTTATTTGCAAACTTCGGAAACTTTAATTGCAAAGTTTAGAGAAAATTGTATAAAGACTTAAATGTCCAAAATGAATAAATGTTTGGCGTAAAACTTGACGGAAGATTTAAATTAAATTTTCCAGAAATTTTCGACGCGAAAATTGAGTGAAGATTTAAATTAAAGTTTCGTGAAATGTTTGGCGTAAAAGTTGACTAAAAATTTAAATTAAATATTTATTAAAAATTTATACCGAAAGTTGAGTGAAAATGTAATTTAAATATTCAGTCAATTTTTGTGACGAACATTTCCTAAAAATTTAAATTAAATTTTCAGAAAAAGTTGGACGAAAATATTTGTAAAAAATACAGAAATAATATTTAAGAAGTATTAATATTATTATTAATATTAATAATAATAATAATACATAGATAGATAGATAGATAGATAGATAGATAGATAGATAGATAGATAGATAGATCTTTATTATTATTATTATTATTTAATTTAGCAGGTAAATGATGTTAACCAGTGTTTGGCCTAATGGCTTAATTATATTTTGTTCTTAATCATATGACGCGTTTCGATACAGTATACTGCATCCTCATCAGATCTACAAAGATTATAATTATAAATTTACAGAAATTATAATATTGATAAATACTTTAAAGATTGACAAATTGACAGATTTTTACAGAAAAGTAAAGTTTTTATACATACCATACATTTAAATTGATAAAAAAATTAACATGCTTGCATTGTTTTAAGGTTATGTTTTTTTAAAAAAATCAAAAAATATTCAAGCATGATATATATATATATATATGAGGCAAAATTCCTGAAATGTCCGAACAAAAAATTAAAAGTTCTCGAATTTAATCCATACTTTTCTAAAATGTTGTTATTGTTGGTGAAAGTCTAGAAATCAATTATTATTGAATTTAATAAAATAGTTTTTGAATTACAACGTTTTTAATTTTTGACTTTTGAAAAAAAAAATTTTTTTCAATGTACAATATTTATAAGTAGAATGCATAAAAGTTAACATATATATAATGATTTTTAAAGCTTTTTTGACGAGCTACACGCTGTTAATAAAATTTTTTTTTTTTAAATAACATTTGACCTTGAAATTCAAGGTCAAAATGTTAATTTACGTTTATCTCAAAATCGGATTTTTTAAAATTATTTTTAACTATCTCAATGGAAAGCTTGACTAATTTCCTACAAAACATGTAATTTTCAGAGTGGGATCTTTTAAAGTTTTTGAGTTATTAATTAATTAATTAATGTTTATAACAAATGAAATATTTTACAAACGAATAAAGTTACCGTAATTCTGAAGTTAGTAATTGAAAGTTAACGTAATTCCGCATCCAACGAGCCCTATATGAAGTATTTTGGATAAGTAGATTGTTAATAAACAATTAGTTAACATTGCAATTGTTTATTAACAATCTACTTATCCAAAATACTTCATATAGGGCTCGTTGGATGCGGAATTAGCTTAACTTTCAATTGGTAAGTTCAGAATTACCATAACTTTATTTGTTTGAAAAATATTTTATTTTTTACTAACAACAAGCATCCAAAAGCCCTATATGAAGTATTTTTGTTCAATTTTAGTTAAATAACAATAAAAAATGAAATATCCTACAAACAAATAAAGTTATCGTAAATCTAAACTAACCAATTGAAAGTTAAGCTAATTCCGCATCCAACGAGCCCTATATGAAGTATTTTGGATAAGTAGATTGTTAATAAACAATTGCAATGTTAACTAATTGTTTATTAACAATCTACTTATCCAAAATACTTCATATAGGGCTCGTTGGATGCGGAATTACGTTAACTTTCAATAACTAACTTCAGAATTGCGGTAACTTTATTCGTTTGTAAAATATTTCATTTGTTATAAACATTAATTAATTAATTAATTAATAACTCAAAAACTTTAAAAGATCCCACTCTGAAAATTACATGTTTTGTAGGAAATTAGTCAAGCTTTTCATTGAGATAGTTAAAAATAATTTTAAAAAATCCGATTTTGAGATAAACGTAAATTAACATTTTGACCTTGAATTTCAAGGTCAAATGTTATTTAAAAAAAAAAATTTTATTAACAGCGTGTAGCTCGTCAAAAAAGCTTTAAAAATCATTATATATATGTTAACTTTTATGCATTCTACTTATAAATATTGTACATTGAAAAAAATTTTTTTTTTCAAAAGTCAAAAATTAAAAACGTTGTAATTCAAAAACTATTTTATTAAATTCAATAATAATTGATTTTTAGACTTTCACCAACAATAACAACATTTTAGAAAAGTATGGATTAAATTCGAGAACTTTTAATTTTTTGTTCGGACATTTCAGAAATTTTGCCTCATATATAAGTTCCAAATAAATTTAAAATGAGTCTCCTGTGAATAATACTTATTTTCGAAAACATTTGTTAATTAATAATTGTTAAAAAAGATAAAATTAAAAATTAAATATGAAAACACATGTTTCCCATAAGGGAAACATTATAGAGACTGACATGAATAAAGTGAACCTAGCTGCAAGACATTACAAGGTTCATATAAAAAGGTTATGTGAGAGATGTATAAAAGAATGAAAAATATGAACATCGTACAAGAGACTCATCTTTTACAAATAATTGAAGAACCCATTGAACAGTTATATTCAAAAAAAACCTAAAATCACAAGATTATCAAATAATTAAATTCAAATAAACGTCACTTAAGTCATCGGTATCAGTTTTTAAGTTAATCGAATTTTTATGTTTTAAGATATAGTACATCTCCAAAATTAATCTTTTTTTATAATTATTTTCAATTCGTAAAATATTAACACTATCTGATGAAAAATCAAAATTATGGTTTAAATTTGTGGAATGTTTGCATAAGGCACTTTTTTCACTTTTTATCGATACATCGTATTTGTGATTATAAACTCTTCTTTTAAGAATAAGCAGTATACTGTATCGAAACGCGTCATATGATTAAGAACAAAATATAATTAAGCCATTAGGCCAAACACTGGTTAACATCAT